GGTTAATGTTTTTTGTAACCCGCAAGACCATTTACAATATTATAAATCGCGCTGAAAACGAGGAAAGAGCTGAGCCAAATTAAGGAGCCGGTCGGAAGCAAAAAAATAAACAAGCAGAGCGCGCATTGGTAAAAAAAAACTGGACTAAAATCCGATGCTTTCGACGAGAACTCTTGCAAGAGAACTGAAGGAAGAGTTGGATCTGGATGTATCCCATGAAACTGTACGTCAGGCCATACTACAACACGAGTATAAATCAAGAGCTTCTCACAAGTAACCAATGCTCTCTGATGTTAATGTTGGAAAACGATTGTCCTTTGCCACAATGCATATATATAATATATTGGAATGACGTCATGTTCTGCGATGAGACGAAAATGATATTTTATTATAATGATGGGCCAACAAAAGTGTGGCGTAAGCCTTTAACATCTTTAGAAAACAGAAACATCATTCCGGCGGTCAAATTTGGCAACCTGTCCATAATGATTTAATGGTGCATCTCAAGCCAAGGAGTCGGAGATTTGGCCTTTGTTCAAAACACGATGAACGCACAAATATATTTAAGCATTTTGTAGAACCAGTTAACAAGCAGCGCGAACAATTTTGGGTTTATAAAGAAAAACATGCCGAATATTAAATTTTATCATGACAAAGCACAAGGCGCATATGATACTCTTGTGGTTTCTTTATAGGAAAATATTCCATTTTCCAAGATACTTTTATAAAACTCAGCATTTACGAGCTTTAATATTCTCACATATTTGCAAAGCCGTACAAAGGAGTACAAATTTGATAAATCTCAGGGGTGCCGATTTCATAATTATATTAGAGAAATTTGGAACGGTTGTCCTCCTAGTGCCCGTGCAGTACGAGTTTGTTACCGATAATTGATAACATGCCCCGTTAACAAGAAATCGATAAACATCGATAACGAAGTCCTGTTTTTTTGAGTAAATTACGTAGGTTTTAAAAGCTAGAATTACGAAATTTGACATGAAGCTTCTTGAATAGTACATACGTATCAAGTATCCTTCATTTTATAGCTATCACCACCCCCTATTTCCACGATCCCAAAAGCCGAATTCGTACATCTTCAAAGATAGAAAGTACTATAGTCGAAAGAGTCCGCTCTGAGTTGTCGTTAAAAACATTAAAGCTTCCTTCTATACATACATAAACAAACAACAGACAATATAAACACTAACATGAGTAACGCCCATACATTTGCATGTGACGCAAAATTTCTAGCCTGGCTTCCTTAACTAGCTTTTACGATTTCGCACGATATGGCAGCCGATTGCTGTTAATTTAGACGAACGAATGCTGCGGTCGCGGCTTGCTGATGCTGACACGTGCAACGAAGTTAGTCGCCAGCCTGCCTTCAGCAAATCTGGTCGATGGTGCTTTGCGTCGCTTCGTTTTCGAAGTACATTGAGCGAAAAAGTTTGGACTTACGATCGACGCAAAGTGCTTTTGCTTAATCCATGAAATGCATGTCTTATTTAAATGATATATTACCCAGATACTAACGATTAATTTTACAGGAAAAATTAAATTATTTTTTTACAAGGCGCTTCTTGTGCAATAACTATGTCAAGAAAATAGCACACAAAGATTGACTTTACTTTTGTTTTTGGACAGTGTATGCTCGAGAAAAGTTCTTGTCTCAGCCAATGATGTGCAAGCACCTTTGGCTATATGCGTGAGTTATGCATGCATAATTAAATCAAATATACAAAATATACATAACATGCATTTATATGTCAACACAAATTTGGGATAGGTCATGATCAGCGCTAGAAAACTAAGAAAATTTATTTCTTTGCCAGCCAGGGACTGTACCAGAGTAGTGAATAACAACACATATATGTATATTCACACGCATACAAACATAATTGCTTGCACGGCCCTCATAAAACCAAAGCTTAGAGTACATTCTTTTGTTTAGCTTTTTCGCTCTCTCGGCTGTGAGAGCGTAATGATACAGATTTCGTTTTCGGTTTTAATTTTCAAAAAATCAAGCTGCATAGTAGCATTTTGTTGTATGGCGTTACTCATCTTAGTGTTTATATTGTCTTTGGACAAATCACAGTTTATGCTGCGAATGAGCTGCTTCTGTTCCCAACCCCACATTATAAGTAATGAATTGCTTGTATGGTATACACGTGACATCTAAATGTTTGTAAAAGACAATAAATTTCAAATGATTTTTTTTTTTTTTTTTTAATTATAGATGGAAATAGGGGGTGGTTCATAAAGTGAAATATCCTGGAGCTGTGTAATTTATACGAGTCTAAATACGAATTAGCTCTTATATGCTTCATAAAACAGGATTTCGATAACGGTTTTGACAGACTTCATGGAAACGGCAAGTTATCGATAATTGAAAACCTTTCAAAATTTGATGTCAATATTATAGTTTCCGACATCGACGTGTTTATATATACGGATGAACAAACAAACAGACGATCGGTAGAATGCCTTGCTTATTGATGCTTGTTAATAATATATGTACTTTACAGGGTCGCAGATGTTTATATCTACCTGTTACTTATGCATACATATTCCATGGGTTCAGTGTTTTTGTGCTAATAAAAAAATAAAGTGTAAATATTCATTGTCAGCATCAACGGCCGAATCGATCTAGTCAAGTCTTTCTGTTCGTCTGAACAAACCATGATGATTTGAATATTAAAAGATTTTGTGCGTGAAGTTTCGTGCTCAAATTCACTCCCAAAGATCTTTATAACATTTTACAAGTGGCATATGGTTAGGAATTCTACTTCCTACATTCTACATTACCAATACTCATTATGTATAATGAATATCTGGTCAGTCAGTCAAAAATTAATTAAGACGAAGAGCTAAGTCGATCCAATTGGAATTTAGTTTATACTAATACACCGGTTACAAAAATTTCATTTTTTGAAAATATAAGTCAATTCTTGGGTTCATAGTTGTGTAAGTAAGAAATCTAATCAATGCTTTCAAAGTGCTTGAGTACTACAAATATCAATTTAATTATTTTTAGTAGAAATGTGAAATGTGTACCGCATTTAACATTTGCGAGCCCACGATGTATATACATAATTTTGCAAAGCCGAAAGGGGTACAAGGGTAGTAAATCTCCAGTGTGCCGAATAAAGCCGCACTTTCTTGTTTGATTTAATAACTTTATGGAAAATGGTTTACGGCTTACGGTGGGAAATTTTTTTTTTGTTAGACCTCTTGTGTTTAACTCAAAAACGTTCCATTTTTCTTTAATTACTGACCTCTTAAATTATGAACGACATTTCTCGTCGTCCTGATTAAGATTATTTATACTTTATTGGGTCAGTAATATATTCCGTTTACTTATTACATACATTTGCACAAAACTATTATATCCGATTTTATATAATTTTTGTTAACGCAATATCTCAAACCCGTTGAAAATAAGTAAAACATGTAAAATTGTTTTCTGTAAATGTATTTAACAGGCAGGTAGAAGCATCTGTAATCCCATATAGTGAAAATATTCTGGATCATCATTAATACCCGAGTCGATCTAGCTATGTCTGGCCGTCCGTATGAATGAACGCAAGGATCTCAGAACCTATTAGAGCTAGAGACTTTTAATTTGAAAAAGGTCCTTCCAGTGCCGCGCAGTACGAGTTTGTATCCGATTATCGATAGCTTTCCCAGTTTCCCAACTATCAGCAAAAACCAATGTCGATATCCTGAAACCCTATTAATTTGGGAATAAAATGGAGGTCGATCGGAAAATTTTAAAACTACACCCTTAAAACATTAACGCTAATCAACTAATCAGATGGCAATATCGATGAAATACATATTCGTTAAGTTCTTATGTAGGGTTTATTAAATGAAATTGAATCAAAGGCAAACAAAACCTAAAACTTCGTCCAAAAAATCGTAAAACTTTTCACCAAGGAAGCTTTTATTTTGCGAAAAATGTGAAACTCGTTTCAAATGATTTTTCATAGAGATACTTGGAAATTAATTTAAGCGCGATACGTCACACACTAAATATTTGACCCCTATTTCCATTAAGAGACGGATTTTTCAAAAAGTGCGAACACCCATTAGATGAATTTTCACAAAGATCTATGAAAATGTTTTGAAGCCGTTTTTCGCTAATTAACCTCTGTTGTCGGAGGAATTTCCCAAATCGCTTAAGCACGTATTCATTAAATTCTTATGTAGAGCTTTAAAAAAAGGTTTGAAGCAAATCGGTGAAATCTTAAAACTGTCCTTAATCTTAGATTCTGCGATAAGTTGGAAACACATCTCAAATGATTTTTCTTAAAGTTCTTCGCAAATAATTTTAAATCAAAACTGCACTGACATTATCTTTGATTATTTAAAACATTTACCCAGAAACCTTGAACCATGTATGTATATGTAACAGGCAACCTAGCGATCGTTTTTTTGTCCGTTCATCGTATCAACACGTGCTAGCGCAGTACGAATTTGTTTCCAATAATCAATAACTTGCCCCTTTTCCAAGATAGCAATAAAAATTAATATCGAAATGTTTTTTTTTTAGTAAATCTTTTGGGCTTAAGAGGTAGAGTCACCAAAGTTGACATGTTCGTCAATATTATATATATAGTATCTTTCATTTTATATCTATCGCTACGCCGCCTCCATCCCTTAGTTATAATTAAATAAATAAATCAATTAAACAACCCAAAAATTTTAATACTGTTACAAATTAGGATAATTATGTGTTCTGCCTTATCTAGAGGATTTGGAACTTTTCGTTCGTGTTGCTTCTAGAAAGTGGGAAGCCACTCGCCTAGCGTTTCGTTTGAAGAGCAATAAACTCCCGGAAAAGCGACGGTAAACAAATTGTGTCGCATTTAAATATACGGGCGTATCTAATCTTAGTATTTAACTTTGTCTTAGATATTGTGTAGTCGGTTTTAATCAACTCATACTGTCGCATGAGTGTATAAACATTTTTTTGAGGTAGAAGGCAATAAAAGAACAAATATGTTCATATTATCAGACAAATATAAATTTATTAATTTTCAGGGTTGTAATTTGCTTAGATCAACTCGTTGCGGTTCGAAAAATTACTGCACACCAAAATCTGCAAAGAATAATTCAATAAGAATAGAGCTGTACATATCTTTAGTACAATTTACCTTAGCTTTTAATATATCCTCTGTCCAGTCTTCCTGTGTAATACCTTTTATAGCATTAATTACAACTCTTTGAACTTTTTCAACCTGCTTTTTGAATGTATATATTATTTCGTGAGTAGTTGCTATTGGCTGGTTAGTGCACCAACACTCTTTGTTGGTCACGAAACTCAAAGAGGCGTAAAGTATACCGGCTTCCTTGGCTAATATTGCTTCTGGACAAAGTGTCATGCTCAAGAGGTCAGCTCCCCAATTGCGGTACACGTTGTTTTCTGCAACAGTAGAATAACGTGGTCCCTCTAATGTTATTACAGTTCCTTTCGAGTGTATGGGGAGGTGCAGCTCATTGGCTGCTTTCAAGAGGTGAAAACGCGTACGTTCGCAAAATGCAGGATACATGGGAAGGTGGCATACGCCAAAAGGACTGCCTATAGCGCCGTCATAAAATGTTTGAGCACGTTTTGTTGTATTGTCAATAAAATCGTGTGGAACAATAATGTCTCCAGGATGAATATTTTCACGCAGGGAGCTTACGGTGTGCGTAACTAAGATATGTGTGCATCCCAACTTACGCATAGCCCAAATGTTAGCTCTGTAATTAATATTAGAAGGCATTATATCATGAAGTCGTCCATTTCGCGATAGAAGGGCACAATTGACATTTTCAATTTTTCCCTCGATTATAATATCTGAAGGTTTTCCGAATGGCGTACATACAGCGCATTCCCTTCTATCGCTTAGTACAATAGGTGTATCAAGGCCAGATTCTCCAATAATTCCAATTTTGACTTCTTCCCCTTCATCAATTTTGTGTTCCATAACGGTTGGGTAATTTTGGCGTTTTTCGAAAATCCTAATCTGTTTTTGGTAATGTATTATAAACAGTTTATTTTATTTCCTCATTTTCACATTAAGAAAGTGACTTCTCATGCTTAGCTATCCTAAACTAAAAATTAAATTAAATATAAAATAAAAGACTGTGTTCTGGATGTGCACATATATATATAATTATTTTTTACGCGTTCAGTTAATGTAAAAAAAATATATTTAAATTTATTATTTTCACTGTAGGTTACTTTTGCTAAGTACAATCCGCTTTGCTTACAAAATCTGAACTAACTTATCAAACCATTGCCGTCGCTTATCAAACTTCGCTAGACTCGTAATTGGGTAAAGTTTGAGCTGCGTCAGCAATTATGCATGGGATAATGCTATGTTGAGAACATTGACAGTGGCGTGATTTTTATGTTGAATTGTTTATGTCTACCAAAGGGGGACAGTCTGATCTTGCCCAATGTCAATGCTATCACCAGGCTCTTTGTTTACAAGAATTGGAAATGTTTATACTTGTGCTTATGTGCTTAGTTATATTAAAGGGTGGGTGCGACTATGGATATGTCACTCCCTCAACCATTAGAAAAGAACCTGCCCTCAGGTGTTTAAGTTTGGGTATGGTACACATTTTCTTCTTTTACAATTGGTGTATCTTCTACTATTGTAGGTGTTTCTTCTGCTTTTGGTTTGTTATATTTTTTAATTAATTTCTTAGGTATGCTTTTAAACTTATATGTTAAATACAGTGTTAAACTTATTAATATGATTACAAATATGGTTATTGTAATTATCTGGAATACATTGTTAATTTTTGTGTGTTCATTTATAATTTGTTTCGTTTGTACAAACGAAAGTGGTTCTAGTTTTATAACATCATTGCTTACGTATATGCTTTGAGTATAATCTAACATATTGTTTAAAATTGAAATTGCATTAATTTGCAGGGAACAATTAAAGATTTTTATTATATTGTTTCCTTCTATTGTTATTTCGTTATTTATACAGTTATGGTTTAATATAGTTTTTGGTAAATTCCAAGTTAAAATTATATTTGGTTGTACATAGTTAATTTGAAAATTTTGCAAAGTTTTAGTATAACTACATTCTGATGTTATTTGGCTTAAAATTCCTGTCAAACATTCATTATTAATAATTTTTTGTTTCTTTGCTATAAACTGTTTTGTCTTAGGTAAAATATTTTTCATGAGCTATTTCTGTCAAAATGTTATTATCATCCGGGTATGGAATTATTTCGAATACCGGGCTTTTTATTATTTCTCGAGTAATATGGGATATAGTCAGTATTTCGTTTGTATCTGATTTAAACCAAGAGGAAGTTTTTTTTATTCAACAATTTCTCAGAATTAACATGCAACAAATAGTCATGTTTTAGTAATTTCGGGTTAAAAATGCCTAATCTTGTGAGCTGCATTCCCATCTCAATGTCAATGTCTTATTGGTCTACTGTTCCAAATAAGTATTTATATACTGTTCCTACTATGTTAACTAAACCTATTTTTAAGCCGTTTATTTCTCTGTTTAGTTTTTCTACTAGGTATTCGATTTGTATTAGGTTATTAAATTCTTTACTTTGTTCAATTAAGTTGTTAAAAGTTTCTTTATGTTAACCGTTTTTGTTATGTTAACCGTTAAACAGTGGAATTCGTAATCTGTCAGAATGTCTATGGTTCCTGTTTTAAATATGAGATAGCCGTTATGGGCTTTAATAGGATTAATTTCAATGCTTTGTGCATTTATTTGGCTTACAGTAATTGATTTAATATTATAGTAAAGTATTATTATTTATTTTTTTTGCTGGTGTGGCTGTTGAGTAGAGTCGACAGTAAGTAATGCGGTCAGTTGCAAATTCGAGTCCTGCCAAGGGACCTTATTTTTATTCATTTATTTGGTGTTGGAATAAGAGGGTTGGGTATCCCCTAGTCGGGAGCTCCCGACTAGAACCTCTTACTTGTTTTAATATTAGTTCTTTGAATTCTGCAAATGTTTGAAGATCTATTAATTTTTTACTAGTTTTCATTGCCTTTGTTGAATTATTCGGACTTATTATTTCTAAGTAGGCTTATTGAAAAATTGGAAAATCTGCTTCGTTGTGGAAGTATAGCACACTTTTCTTTGTGCATAAGTATTCTTTTATTAATTCTTTGGCATGCGCATTTGTCATGTCTTTGTATGTAATTCATATGTTGGTTTTATGAAAGTAATTCGTAATTTTTGTTTCCTTCTCGGTTCCTTTTTCAAATTTTATTTGTCGATTATAGTAATTAAGGGGTCTTTCTGTGATTTGAAAGTGGTTACTGTTGTCTTCTTGAGCACTATGTATGGTTGCTCTTGTGCTAATAGTATCTTCGTCAAGAAGTTTTCGTTTAATTGAATTCTGGACAGAGCATCTGCCACATAATTTTCTTTTCTTGGGACGTTTTTAAACTCATTTAGCTTGATTTTCCATCGTTGTAATTTCATGTTAGGTTCTTTCATGTTATTTAACCAGACGAGTGGTCTGTGATCACTAAGGATTTGAAATTGTCGACCGAAAAGGTAGGACCTAAAGTATTTAGTGGCCCAAACGATTGCTAATAATTTTTTTTCAATCGTTGAATATTTTATCTCATGCTCGTTGAGAGTTCTACTTGCATAGCATATAGGCTTATGCTCTTGCGAATCCACATAATCCTAGAAATGATTTAATTTCTTTTGGGGTTTTTGGAATTGGGAAATTTACAATTGCTTGTATTTTGTTGGGATTTGGTTTTATACCCTCAGTTGTGATGATGTGACCGAGAAATTCAGTTTCTTTTCTTATAAACTCACATTTATCCAACTGTAGTTTTAAGTTAGCTTCTCTAAGCTTCTCAAATACTTTTTGTAGCGACAAAATGTGTTCCTCCAATAAAGTGGATAAAATGATAATGTCGTCTAAGTAGACCAGACAATCCTTAAAAATTAAATCTTCTAAGAGATTGTTCATACAACGTTGGAACGTTGCAGGTGCATTCTTAAGACCAAATGGCATGCGAGTGTACTCGTAATGGCCATGTTTAGTCGAAAATGCGGTCTTGGGTATTGAACCAGGATCAATTTAGATTTGGTGGAAGCCTTTGGCTAGATCAATGGTTGTGAAATATTGACATTTTCCAAGTTTGTCCAATATTTCATCCATGATCGGGATAGGGTATTTATCATTAATAGTTAGTTCATTGAGATTGCAGTAATCTATGACTAACCGGAATTTTTGCTTTCCAGATGCATCGTTTTTCTTTGGAACGATTATTACTGGTGAGCAGTAAGGGGATTTGGATTTACGTATGATATTTTGTTTTATCATATCGTTATTTGTTTATTAACCCCATCCCATCCCATCAACCCCATCGTATATTTGAGGATATTTGTATGGACGCTCGTAAATTGGGTCCTCATGTTTTGTTAGAATTTTGTGTTTAATTGTACTAGTGAAAGTCAAATTGTCACCTTCATGGTACTGGATATCACGAAATTCATGTAAAACTCTTTTAATTTTTTCTTTTTCTTCTGAGTTTAGGTGCTCTAGCCTAAACTCATTGTTTTCTATTAATTCGTTATTAATAGCGAAGTTAAATGGTCTGCCCTCTGTTGAGGGTGGATCAAGGCACTCTTGTGCGGTCATGTCCTCTTCGACCTCTTCGTCATTATATCTAAAACAAAAGTTAAATTCTCCTAAGGTTACGAATCCTTGTGCAAAGTCTATTTTTGCTTGACACGCTTCAAGGTATTCTCTCCCAATCAGAATGCTCTGAGAAGTCGTGAATATCAAATTTTTGTTCACTCGGACAAATTTTGCTTGCTCCTAATCGTATGCTTTGTTTTAATTCAATAACACCATTTATGGTGTGAACTTTATCCTTGTAAATAGGAAAATTTAAGCGGTTTGATTTCATAAGATTTATTGTTGAACCTGTGTCAATGACACATTTTAAAACTTCGTCATTCAGAATCAATTTTATGAATGGATTTCTTCTGTTTGTTCCGAGGCTTGCTGATGAAAATTTTCGGATGTATCCATTTTCATCTGCCCACTGTTACTATCTCTTTGACGTGTAGTCAGAGGGTTTGGCGCATTCAAGAGTGAATGGGACTAATTTTTATAATTTAAGGGATTTTGGGATCTACCTTGATTTAATTTCTGTTGGAACTCGTGTTGAACTTTCTGATTGTCTTCGGAATTATTATTCTGTTTATTATGTACGTGGTAACTCTGATTCGTGTTGGAATAACCACTTGAAGTGGTGGTTGGGTTAGCAATTTGCTGATAATTTCCCATGTTCCTACGATTATTATTTTGATTTCCCTGAACTTTTTAATTCTTTGATTTTGCACTTTGTTTTTGTACTTTGTACATTTAATTTAGTTTATTGTTAGTGATTGGTTATTTGTTTTAATGTTTTTATTGTGTGTGTGTGTCTTAAAAAGACCCAGTAATAACGTATTGCAAGGATCAAAAGATATGCAAAGCCAGTCGTTATTAACTGTAGTAGCTTTATTGCCCAAAGGGTCAATGTTATTAGACTAGTGACCCGAAGGTTCTTGTGCGCATACGTAATCGAGAAAACGTTTATTACACACCGACAACAATTTCGGTCGCGATTGTGCGTTAGATCTGGCAATTAACTATCCTTTAGCGATCTTCAGTTTTTCCCGACGTATCCTACCGGCTGCGCCAATTAAGTTTTACGCGTTCAGTTAATGTAAAAAAATATATTTCAATTTATTATTTTCACTGAAGGTTACTTTTGATGAGTACAATCCGCTTTGCTTACGGAATCTGAACTAACTTATGAAACCATTGCCGTCGCTTAGCAAACTTCGCTAGACTCATAATTGAGTAAAGTTTGAGCTGCGTCAGCAATTATGCGTGGGATAATGCTATGGTGAGAACATTGACAGTGGCGTGATTTTTAGGGTGAGTTGTTTATGTCTACCAAAGGGGGACAGTTTGATCTTGCCCAATGTCAATGCTATCACCAGGCTCTTTGTTTACAAGAATTGGAAATGTTTATACTTGTGCTTATGTGCTAAGTGATATGAAAGGGTGGGTGCGACTATGG